GAAGTTGTGCAATACAGTCTCTAGCCTGAATAACATAATCGGAAGTGAAACTCATCATAACGGAAATTTCATTCGAATAAGCTGAATCAATTATACCTAAATGTATTATTACTCTTTTTAATGTAACAGAAATATGACCAAATTATTAACTAATATTAATGTGCTTGTAGGATCAGGCCAAATATATCTATAGGTATATATATCTCAGTAGATGGTGTTAAGAGTCCATTGTCACAAGATGATCTTTGTTCTCTGAAATTACCTTTTGGGCCAAGAGTCTCAGTCAAAGTTGCATTTAAATGTCTGACCAGACCTTTTGGCAATTTCTGAAAAGTTTTTTTCTGCAGCCAGGTGCTCCCCTTGGGCCATAAGGTGCCATTGGGATGCAGTGGTGGGGAGCTGGTGCTGGGCTGCCTGGCTGAGCATGGCCACAGCCTGTGTGGCTCAGCAGCATGGCAGCCGTGGCACCATGCTGTTTAATTTGCTGGGCATAAAACTGGTGGCATTTAGAATTAACATTATTAAAAGCCAATATATGTAAAATCATATTTCTTAAATTAGGAGGACTAACAATTTCTTGCATCATATATTTCTTGCAATCTAGCAATAAAATCTACATGAGTTTCATTAACATTTTGTTTAACATTTATATAGGAAGCTACAGTCTAAGAGAAGGTATCTTTTTCCATACTTTAATACAGCACTGTTGAATTTGAGAAATAGCCTGATCATCATATTTTAGTTGAGCATTAATATCAAATCAATATTCTTGACCCGTAATTTGTGCCAGAAATTTTTACTGGTGGGTCCATGGACTCATTTAGCTAGGGTTTCTCACACATATTATCCCTGCACCAAGTGGTGAACTGGAAAAATTTAGGCAGAGATATAACTGTTCACACAGGAGATTTCCAAACCCAAGGAATTAACCTTTCTATTTGAACTAATTGTTTAATCGAGCTCAGGGTGTAAAGAGAGTTTGTGCTGGCTATGCACAGTGGCTCAAACCTGTAATCCTAGCATTCTGGGAGGCCAAGGCCGGAGTATCACTCAAGGTCAGGAGTTTGAAACCAGCCTGAGCAAGACCTTGACCATGTCTCTACTAAAAAAATAGAAATTAATCAGCCAAATAAAAATATATTGAAAAATAAGCAGGGTATTGTGGCATATACCTGTAGTGCCAGCTACTCGGGAGGCTGAGGCAGAAGGATTCCTTGAGCCCAAGAGTTTGAGGTTGCTGTGAGCTAGGCTGAGGCCATGGCACTATAACCAAGGCAACAGAGTGAGAGTGCTGCTTTTGGCATTCCATTTGTCAGTCGTAAGCAAGAGAACTCTGATATTTACCAATTCATAATTCAGCACAGAGCATGAAAGGGGTTTTAATGCTTTTATTTGAAGCCAAAGACACCTGGACTTCCTGGTGCTGATGATTATGTTATGGAAGAGACTGAAGAGGTGTGTGGTGCTCACTGTCTCCCCTCTGGCCACTGTGACTATACAAAACAGGATTGGATCCAAAATCACTAATGAAATTTTCAATCAAAAAGTGGCCATGATCCCTGAGATTCCTCTAGAGAGAATGACCAAATTGTTGGCCACAGTTAGATGACTAAAAATGAGAACTGTGTACTATGCCCTGCACCTACTAAAATTAAGGAAGATAAAGTTATGTAAAATAAATTCTCTAAGATTGAAATATCAGATAAAGAAAGATTATTCCAAATATTTTCAATCCAGAGAAATCATTCTATTATATTCTAACACTGAAAATACACTCATAAGTAGATTCTAGATGAATGCATATGTTGTACTATAAGTAATTCATAGAAATTAAATTCAATCTCTTTATACCTAAATTCCTATTAAGAGATTGGAAATTCTCCATATTTCTTTATATAGTCTTACATATGCATCACATACTTCTTAATGCTTCACTTATTGTAATTATTTTCATATTATGACGTTATATTTAGGATCTATAACAGTTTGCTTTACAAGCAAACAATGCTGAAGTTTTTTTTGTTTTTTTTTTTTTGAGACAGAGTCTCGCTTGTTGCCCAGGCTATAGTGAGTGCCATGGCGTCAGCCTAGCTACAGCAACCTCAAACTCCTGGCTCAAGTAATCCTTCTGCCTCAGCTCCTGAGTAGCTTGGACTACAGGCATGTGCGCCACCATGCCCGCTATTTATATATAATATATATATATATAGTTGGCCAATTAATTTCTTTCTATTATAGTAGAGAGGGGTCTCGCTCTTGCTCAGGCTGGTTTCGAACCTCTTGACCTCGAGCAATCCGCCGCCTCGGCCTCCAGAGATGCTAGGATTACAGGCGTGAGCCGACCGCGCCGCAAGTGCTGAGTTCTTGATGAATCTTGGCCTTTCAGTATTGTTATCTTTCCATAGATTTAAGGCTCTTACTTTAATCTTTAGGAACAATTGGAATTTCTCTAAATCTAATGAATAATCAGAAATGCTATAATGGAATTACCTGTAAATGGTCAGGCTTTTAGTTAAAATGTTATTTTCTCCAAAGTTATAAATACTCTTACAATTTATCAAATTCTTTAAAAAACTTTGTGAACATGCTGGGGTGGAGTTCAACAGTGAGAATATCGTAACCAAGCCAGACAGAGAGAACAATGGCTAGATATACCAGTTGTAGGGGGGAATGAGATAAAAATGCAAAATACTGAGATAATTATGAAAATGAAAGAAGCAGAAATTTCAAGAGTTGGTTGTTCTGTTTGTCCCTTTGCTCCACAATGCAAAATCAAATGAACTTTTTTTTTTTACCCTGGACTTCCATCCTCTGTTCTCCTGGAGCCCACAGCTTCACTTCCCCACAGACATGTTGACTGCTAATTATGAAGCATCTATTACATATCTAACACTGTCCTGTACTTATTTCTTCTATTTAAATATAAAAACAACTCCATAATCTATAATCCTTCTTAATGTTTACCTGAACAAAGTAGCATGATAAAGTCAATAAATCAATTAGTCTGATAACCCAAAGTAAAAGAAACAGTAACCAGAAAGTTCTTTCAATAAATATCCTTCCCAAATTAGTATGAAAATATAGAATGTACTACGTAAAATGATATTACTACAATGTGGAATTACTCACACCTTCAGGTAATTTTATAAGCACCATTAAGTTTTATAACTATCCTTATTGTAATTGCAGATCAGGTCATATAAATGATACTTAATGAACTTTGAAATAATAAAATAATATAGCTGTCCTAGCATGAGTAATAAGCATGTAATAACAGAGGATTTGCGTGGGCAGGTTCCGATTCAGAAGCTTTAGGGTTTTAAACAATTAATTCCACATAAAGGGAACAAAATATTTCCTTTCAGAAACTTTGAAGTTTCTAGATTGCTAGTAAATTCTCAACACTTTTGAAATTACCCATTTTTTCTAATATTTTTGTTTCTGTTCAAATAGGTATACATCCACATTCACACAAACATAATTACTTACTCTGTAAATATACTACAACTATAGTTCAACTTAACCATGATGTATTTGTATATTTGATTCAATATAAATAAAAATATGCTTATTTGTGTATTATCGGCCAGGCAGGTTGCATGTTGAAAGAAAAATGTATGATAGAATGTAATAACGAGTCATGCTGTGTTAAGAAATGTATGGCTTTTCATTAAGTACAAAATCTTTATTATAAGAATTACAATAACAATGTAATTATGAATATAATGAAAAAGAGCTTTAGGAACATTTTTCTTCAAAGTAGAGCCACTGATAAAAAGGATCACAAATGATGTCATTTCACTGTGTAACCCAACGGTACATTTTTACAATCGATTTCCTCCAACTTTGAGTAACATGGGATAGGTTAAAGTTGGTGCAAAATAACACTTCATTCAATCTACAACATGTTTGACACATTAAAATTATTTTTAATTTAATGAAACAAATTAAGTTTACATGTAATCTAAAAATATTCCAAATTTCATTTGATTTTATTATCTATCATAATGTATAATATTAAAACAAGTTATTTCTAATATTGTAATTTTTCATTCTGATTATAATGAGAAGAATATTAGCCTATATACACACATCATACATCACTTGAGATACTGTTTGTTATAAGAAAAATCCATAGTACCTCTCCACTTCATAAATCTTACATTTCAGTGATTTTAATTTCCCATGGAAAAGTACATGAATAATGCCTATTGAATACACAAAGACTACTAATAAATGCAATGTAGCTATCATTAACCACAGACATTCACATACACACTAAGAATGAAAGCATACCATCTACTGTTTTTAAAGTTGAATAACATTAGTATTTGCTTGTCAAAAAGGGAAAAAATTATATCTTTTTATATTTTTACCCCACCCTGACCAGAAAGTATATTTTACATGTAATTATAACTCTCATATAATTTCTCTCTTTTTAAAGCTGACATACAAGTAAATCAACTAACTATTTTAACTGGGTAGTACTCTATAATTAACAACCTGGTTTAAAGAAATTTGTGAATGGCTACTGCATTAGTGTATTACACTGTGAATCCTCTGATATTTGTTTAGACTTGATTCTTCATTAAATGTATTCTGAAATTCATTATATCTGTAGAGTAATTTTAACTATCAATTCTTTGTGGTTCTCTAAAGTATATCTTTTGCATAAATATTTTTTCACATTCATTGTATTTGTAAGATGTCTATCTCTTAAAATTTTTGTGATGTTGCGGAATGTTGGAGAAATTTTGGAGCATTTTTTTCAGTGTAAGTTCTCCCATGTCCAGTAAGATCTCTGTTGTAACTAAAAGTATTGTCAGCACTCTACATTATGATTGTTTACTTGAAGTATAAGTACTGTTGTGCATTTTAAAGCTAATACTTAGGGAAAGCACTTCCATACTGATTACATTTATCTCACTTTTATCAAGTATAATGTATTTGGTGTTGAATAAAATGTGAGCAGTTATTAAAGACTTTGCCACAATTCTCACATTCATGGAATTTTTCTCTGTTATGCCTTCTTTTATGAAGATTAAGGTGTGAGGACTGGGAAAATGCTTTGCCACATTCCTCACATTTGTATGGTTTCTCTCCTGTATGGATTCATTTATGTAGAGTGAAGTCTCTGAGCTGGTAAAAGACTTTGCCACATTCTACAACATTTTAGGGTTTACCTCCAGTATGAATTCTTTTATGTTGAGTAAGGCTTGACCACTGGGTAAAGGCTTTGCCACATTCTTCACATTTGTAGGGTTTCTCTCCAGTATGAATTTTTTTATGTCGAGTGAGGATTGAGGACTGGTTAAAGGCTTTGCCACATTCTTCACATTTGTAGGGTTTCTCTCCAGTATGAATTCTTTTATGTAGGGTAAGGATTGAGGACCGGTTAAAGGCTTTGCCACATTCTTCACATTTGTAGGGTTTCTCTCCAGTATGAATTCTTTTATGTTGAGTAAGGCTTGACCACCTGGTAAAGGCTTTGCCACATTCTTCACATTTGTAGGGTTTCTCTCCAGTATGAATTCTTTTATGTTGAGTAAGGTTTGAGAACAGGTTAAAAGCTTTGTCACATTCATCACATTTGTAGGGTTTCTCTCCAGTATGAATTCTTTTATGTTGAGTAAGGTTTGAGAACAGGTTAAAGGCTTTCTCACATTCGTCACATTTGTAAGGTTTCTCTCCAG